CACTCACTGGGCAGGAATGGAGCCAATGAGGCTCTCAATGGGGCCAGTAAAGCCAGTCCCTGGGAGGTGGCCCCCTGCCTCTTGTGTGCTAGGTAACCTTGGACCTGTTCCGTCACCCATGTAAGCCTTGTGTTCTTCGTCTAACAGTTAAGACATGGGATCGTTTCCAGATGAGAATCCACGAGGCCTCATTGACTTGGCGCAGTCCTTCTGGGATTGTTAAGCAGATGACTTCCATCGGTACTGAGCCAGGAGTTGAGGTAGGAGTCACCATTGCAGGTGTTTAAGTCAACTATTTTAATACATTGATTACCAGATATAAAAAAAAAAAATAGTATCAAGATAAACCTTCACCAGGTAGTCGTGAGGATGGAGTCAGCTGATCCTCGGGAAGGTGGTGTCTACATTTTAAAGTGCTGTGCTTGTGCAAGGGTTTCTAGAACCTGGGTTTTCACCAGGCTCCCCCAGGGACAAGATCAAGCCGGTGACATGTTACCCTGCAGGTAGCAGTGCTGTACCTGGAGCCGGCTTTCCATTTCCACCAGCCGGAGTTGCTACTCACTGTAGCAAACATGTGTTTCTTTGGAGCCTCTGGTGTCCGCTGCTGGGCCCCTGTTCTTATGCCGAGTCATCCCAGACCTGCTTTCTGCCCTCCTGGGTCTGCAGGCCTGCATGGGTCCCCTAGGTTGCCTTTTCAACATTGTGTGATTTTTTTTTTTTTTTTTGAGACAGAGTTTCACTCTTGTTACCCAGGCCGGAGTGCAATGGCACGATCTCGGCTCACCGCAACCTCCGCCTCCTAGGTTCAGGCAATTCTCCTGCCTCAGCCTCCTGAGTAGCTGGGATTACAGGCACGCGCCACCATGCCCAGCTAATTTTTTGTAGTTTTAGTAGAGATGGGGTTTCACCGTGTTGACCAGGATGGTCTTGATCTCTTGACCTCGTGATCCACCCGCCTCGGCCTCCCAAAGTGCTGGGATTACAGGCGTGAGCCACCGTGCCCGGCCCGTTATGTGATTTTTATACTTACCGTTCTCGATATAGTTAATTCTGCATGAGACTGTAGGGCCCCATCTCCCAGCTGTTGTACATCTTCTAAATAGGTGGCCATGGTAAAGAGCTTATATGGTTTCTTCACTCACTCACCATTAACTGATTCATTTATTTATCTCTGTGGTTATATGTACATCTGTCCATCCAGTGGCTATCTTATTTACTCCAACAATATTCAAGACTTTTTACTCAGCATGGACTATGCACAGCTGCTGAAAATATAAAAACAATAACTGCCTTTTTCTTTTGAGTCAGGGTCTCTGTCACCCAGGCTGGAGTGCAGTGGTGCAATTATGGCTTACTGCAGGCTGGAACCCCCAGGCTCAAGCAAGCTCCCGCCTCAGCCTCCCAAGTAGTCAGGATTAGGGACAAATCTCTGTACTCGGCTATTCTTTTTTTTGTCTTTTGTAGAGACAGGGTCTTTCTATGTTGTCCAGAATTGTCTTCAATACCTAACCACCATTTTTAAAATGCAGTAAAATACATATAACAGGAACGTCACCTTTTTAACCATCTTTAAGCGTACAGTATAGTGGCTTCAATTACATTCACAATGTTGTGCAAACCTCACCACTGTCTATTTCCAAATTTTTTCTTCACCCCAAACAGAAACTCTGTACCCATTAAGCAATAATTCCCCATCTCTCCTTACCCTTTAGTCCCTGGTAACCTCTAATTTACATTCTATCTCTGGAAATTTGGCTATTCTAGATATTTCATGTAAGTGGAATCATACAGTATTTATCTTTTGTGTCTGGCTTATTTCATTTAGCATAATATTTTCAAGGTTCAACCATGAGGTAGCATGTGCCAGGACATCATTCTTTTTATATCATATGGATATACCATACTTTACTTACCCATTTATCTGTCAGTAGACATTTGGGTCGTTTCCACCTTTTAGCTGTTACGCATAATACTGCTATGAACATTTGTGTACAAGTATCTGTTTGAGTGACTGTTTCCAACTCTTTTGTGTATATACCTAGAAGTGGACATTCTGGGTCATAGCATAAATCTACGTTGAAATTTTCAGAGAACCAATAGCTGCCATTTATCAGCGCTTATGATGAGTCAGACATTGAGTTTTATGCTTCATTCACAATGTAATCTAATCCTGTGATAGCCCCTCAAGGAACTTACTATCATCCCTCAGATGGAAACACTGAGTTGAAGAGAGTGTATCAGTCAGCTATTGCTGAGTAACAAACCACCCCCAAATCCAGTGGTTCACAGCAGTCATCACTTACTCTTGCTCACATATTTGCAGGTTGGCTCATGGCTGGTTTATCAAGGCTGACTTCTGCATGAGAAGCTCAGCTGTGACAGGTCAGCTCCACATGCTTCTGAGCCTTCTGAGAGCAGAAGGCTGGCCTGAGAATATTCTTTTTAAGGCAGGAGTGCAGGAGAATGGACCAAAGCCTGGCAGACATCTTTTGAAACAGGCATCCTCTTACTTCCTCCTCATTCTATTGTCTAAAGCAAGTCTTATGCCCAAACCCAAAGTCAGAGGGCAGGAAAATACACTCTGCTCCTTGAGTGGGATAAATTGCAAAGTCACATGGCAAAGAACACAGGCAAAGGAGGGAATAAAGAGCTGGGGCCAATAATGTGATCTAACACAGGGACATTCATGATTCTCCTAAGGTCAGAATGTGTGTGGGGTAGGGCCAGAATTCAACATGAAGTTACAGGGTGGTAATTTGTGTATGGAAAATGGCTGGGGATGGAGAGGGTGGAAGAACATTTTCCTAGGGGCTGATCTTTCTGTGGAATCTTGAAAGTTGGGAGAAGGGAAGGAAAAGGTGTGCTGGGCTGAGGGAGCAGAGGGACAAAGGCCTGAAGGTTCATAAGGTGACGGTGAGCTCAGGGGTTTACCTGCAGTTCGGTAAGATTGGAACAGAATTTCCAGGGGCGGTGCAAGGGTGTGGAAGTGTGAGAAGTGTCAGTAGTTCTGAAGGGTCGTAGAAAGGGGTATCCAGAAGATAACTTCAGATCTTTGTACCGATGAGAAAACAGAGGTTCCGAAGGGTGAGGGATGAGCCAACAGCCTCAAGGAGACTGCTGAGTACGTGGACTTGTGCCCTGTCTCCTAGAGGAGAAGCCCTTTGGATGACCTGTTAATAGTAGGAGAGGTGTGTGTGTTAGTGCATTTTGCATTGCTATAAAGGAATACCCAAGGCCGGGTAATTTATAAATAAAAGAGGTTTATTTTGGCTTACAGTTCTGCAGGCTATACAGGAGGACTGGCACCAGCATCTGCCCCTGGGGAGGGCCTCAGGAAGCTTCCAGTCATGGCAGAGGGAGAAAGGGGAGCAGGCATGTCACAAGATGGAGCAAGAGAGAGTTGGAAGGAGGTGCCAGGCTCTTTTAAAACAACCAGAATTTGTGGTAACTCATGACCATGGGGAGGGCACCAAGCCATTCACGAGGCTTCCACCCCCATGACCCAAAAACACCTTCCACCAGCCCCACCTCCACCATTGGGGATTACATTTCAACATGAGGTTTTCACGGGACAAATATCCAAACTATATCAAGGTACATGATGCATACCAAGGGAGACAATGCTCAAGGAGGGATGGCTTGGGCACTTGCTGGGCATGGGCTCGAGGATTTGGAGGCCCAGATGGGAGAACAAAAGGAAGAACTTGAGATTGAGTGTCTTAGTTCATTTTCTGTTGCTATAATAGAATACCCGAAACTGAGCAATTTGTAAAGAACAGAAATGTATCCTTTTACAGTTCTGGAGGCTGGAAAGTCCAAGATCAAGATGCTGGTACCTGGCGTGGCCTTTCTTACTGCATCTTCACATGGCAGAAGGTGGAAGGGCAAGGGAGGGGTGAAATCTGTGTCCTCACATGGCACAAGAGGAGAAGAGAGTAAATCCACTCTTGTAAACCCTTTTTATAATGACATTAATCTATTCATGAGGATAGAGCCCCACCTCCCAAAACTGCTGCACTCGGGATTAAGTTTCGTCATGATTTTGGAGAAGACAAAACATTCACATCACAGCAGTGAGTGTGGGACGCAGGCCAGGTATGTCCCTCACTGTGTTAGGGGCCTGGCCAGACCAGCTTTGGCTACAAATTCCCCACTGCAAAACATGAGCTCTCAAATGGAAAAGAAATGAAGATACATATATTTTATTGTGTTTTAGGTTTTCGGGTTAAAAAAAAAAAAAGAAATGAAGATGGCTCCTCCCTTGTCACATGCAACAGAAAAGTGGCTTTGTTTTGTCTGGGAAGAGCACAGAGCCACTGAAGGATTTTCAGCAATGCAGGGATGGAGGTGGGTTTTGAAGGTCACTTTGGGACTGGAGCATGAGGCAGCAATACAGCAGAATGTCACCAAGTGGGGTCCAAGCTGATTCCATGGGCTTATTAGTGAAGGGCTCTAATCCTGCCAGGGGCTGGTGCCACAGAGTTGTGTCACATGTGGCAAAGGACATGCTCCCTGAGCCAAGCTCTGGGCCCTGCAAGTTCAGTGCTTAGGGTCAATCACTCATCCCACAGATGTTTACTGAGCACCTATTATGTGCCAGGCAGTGGGCTAGAACTCGAGGTGGACATAGCCATAAACAAAGAGGCAAACAAATCTATTCCATCATGGGGCTTGCAGCTCCCTTGACTGCTGGCCCGTTCTGTCTCAGGCTATACTTGGCACACGGTGCAAGGAGAGGGTTACCAGACCACCAGGTCTCCTGTCATCATCCTGGCCTTGAATATCAGGACCCAAAGGGACCTTTATTTTTATTTTATAATTTATTTTTTTTGAGACAGAGTCTTGCTCTGTCTCCCAGGCGGGAGCACAGAGGCATCAGCTTAGCTCATGGCAACTTCTGCCTCCCGGGTTCAAGCCATTCTCCTGCCTCAGCCTCCTGAGTAGCTGGGTCTACAGGCAGGCAAGCACCACCATGTCCAGGTAATTTTTGTGTTTTTATAGAGACAGGGTTTCACCATGTCTGCCAGGCCGGTCTTGAACTTTTGACCTCAGGTGATGTGCCTGCTTTGGCCTCCCAGAGTATTGGAATTGCAGGTATGAACCACCGTGCACGGCCAGAAGGGACCTTTAAACCCCTAGAGTGCACACAGGTCTTTGCAGCTGGGAGAACTGAAGCCCAGAGAGGCCAAGTAGCTTGCTCTAGGGCACACAGCATTAGAAGCAGGATGGGAAACAGCTCTTTCCACCATCTGGTCTTTTAATATAGTTTTGTTTGTTTTCACTAATAGTTATTGAGTGTCTACTGCGTGTGAGACCTTGGAGACACAGATATGGATGAGTTGCAAGGAGTCCCTGTGCCCTTGAAGCCTCGCCATCTAATCTAATGTTGTCCAATTTAACTTTCTGGGTGATAGAATCATTCCATGTGGTACCAACAAACCACTTGTGACTTCTGTGATTGAAATGTGCCTGGTAACTGATAATGCAACTGAGGCACATTATCTCATTTAAATTAACTTTATCTCATTTATATTAATTTCAACTTAAGCATCCACATTTGGCCAGTGGCAGCTGTGTGTTGGATATTGTAAGTCTAATCTATGGTCACATGACCACACACACACACACACACACACTGATATGGTTTGGCTCTATCCCCACTCAAATCTCATCTTGGATTGTAGTTCCCATAATCCCCATGTGTCGTGGGAGAGAGCTGGTGGAAGGTGATTTAATCATGGGGGCATTCACCCTCATGCTGTTCTCATGATAGTGAGTGAGTTCTCATTAGATCTGATGGTTTTATAAGGGGCTTTTCCCTCTTTGGCTTGGCACTTCTCTGTCCTGCCCCTCCTTAAAGAAGGACATGTTTATTTCCTCCTCCACCATGATTGTAAGTTTCCTGAGGCCTTCCCAGCCCTGCAGAACTGAGAGTCAATTAAATCTCTTTATAAACTACCCAGTCTTGGGTAAGTCTTTATTAGCAGGATGAGAACAGACTAATACACACACAGTCATGAACTGTGAGAGATCAGAGCCACTACACTGTGGGTCCTCAAGATCACTGACAGGTTCCATGAATGATTTCAAATCCTTTGCTAGAAGGACCCCAAGAACTCAGAAGACCTGTTATCCTCATGATTATGGTTTATTACAACAGAAGGATTCAGATTAAAAACTGCAAAATAAAAGGTACATAGGGCAGGGTCCAGAATAGGCTTCCAGTTGTCCTCTCCCAGTGGAATCCTACAAACATGCCTAATTCTCCCACCAATGTTGTGTGACAACATGTATAGAGTGTTGCTACCTGTGGAAACTCACCTGAGCCTTGGTGTTCAGGGTTTTAATTGGAAGTCGGTCACATAGCTGTGGAGTTACCACATGACTGACCTTACTTAGTCACCAGCCCCTGCAGAAGTCAATGTGATTAAAGTCTCCCACCATAATTACATGGTTACCTAGACTGTCTGGCCTGGTTTAGCCCAAGTACCCAGCTATAAAAAGACTGAGTTAGGGAGAATACTGCAAGAGCTTAGGGTTAATCTCCCAGGAGTCAATCAGGTTCTTTCTTTGGAGCACGCATGGGTTTGAACATCCTAAGTCTGCTCAGTTAGCCCTTTAATGCACACTAGAAATCTGTTAGGGAGAATAACAGGGGCCTCGAAGCTTGGAGATGTAGAGAAGGTATTGCTTGTTGCTGACCATTTCGTCTGAGTAAGTTATCACCCTTCTCAGTGGCATGCTTCTACCGTTAGACTTACTGTAATGTCTCATTTTTCTGTTTATCTGTTTGTTTACTTGTTTTTATCTGTCTTGTTTGCTAAACCAAGAGCTCCGGAAGGGTAATTAATTTGTGTGTCTGTTAAGCTTCCTTAGCTTCCCCAGGCCTTAGCATACTTAGCACACTGCTTTGCAGGCCCAAGACTAGGGAATGAACCAAGTGAGGCACTGTTCCGGGGTGCAAAATTTAAGGGGCAACAGAAGCACTGATAAAATAATCATTAATTGGCCGGGTGTGGTGGCACTTTGGGAGGCTGAGGTGGGCGAATCACGAGGTTAAGAGATCGAGAACATCCTGGCCAACATGGTGAAACTCCATCTCTACTAAAAATACAAAAATTAGCCGGGCGTAGTGGCACGTGCCTTTGGTCCCAGCTACTCAGGAGGCTGAGGCAGAAGAATCGCTTGAACCTAGGAGGCGGAGGTTGCAGTGAGCCAAGATCGCATCACTGCACTCCAGCCTGGCGACAGAGCAAGACTCCGTCTCAAAAAAAAAAAAAAAAAAAAAAAAAAAAAAAAAAATCAAAAAAAAAAAAAAAAAAAAAATCAATAATCAAGATAAATGATGTTTTGATGTAATATTTTCAGAAATCAAAATTAATGCACAAAATTCAGAAATATCAAAATGTTAAATAAAGAGGGCATATTAGTTTGTTCTCGCATTGCTATAAAGAACTACCTGAGACTGGGCAATTTATAAAGAAAAGAGGTTTAATTGACTCACAGTTCTGCAGGCTTTACAGGAGGCATGGCTGGGGGGCCTCAGGAAACTTACAGTCATGTCAGAAGGCGAAAGGGAAGCAAGCATGACCAGAGAAGGAGGAAGAGAGTGAAGGGGGAGGTACCACACACTGTTAAACAAACAGATCTCGTGAGAACTCACTATCATGAGAACAGCAAAGGGGAAATCTGCTCCCATGATCCAATTGCCTCCCACCAGGCCCCTCTTCCAACATTGTGGATTTCAGTTCCAGATGAGAGTTGGATGGGGACACAAATCCAAACCGTATTGGATGGAATCAACTTATTGATGATTTTCCCCTTGGCCTTGGGGTCCAGTATGGCTTGGTGCAGTTACTGATCCCGTCTTTATGTGAAAATTTGAGATTTTGTTCATTTTGGGTTTTTTGAATTAATTGTGATTTTAAAAAATAGTGCATTAAATATTATTTATTTTGAGCACTGAATTTTTTGGTACCCTCCCCTTGAATTTTGCACTTAATGGAAGTGCCTCATCTGCCTTGCCCTCCTCCTTACTCTGCTGCTTGCTACACAGAAGGCCCTCAAAATATTTATTGGATAAAGAAGCACTTGCCTATGAGGTGGATGTTGGATTCTCTGTTTTTTCAATGGCAGAAACTCAGGGAAGGCTCAGGGAGGTAAAGCAAGTTGCCTAAGACACAGGAGAGGGGTTGAGATTCATTCTCAGATTGTCTTTCTGCAAAGCCTGGGCATTTATCCACCTTGCTCAGCTGCTTCCCCTTTTCCCTGCCTCTGTGCATCCTAACCTGGAGTGGACCCTCCTAGGGGTCCCTTGCAGGGTGAAGTCTCGGGGCAAAGGAGGCTAGGTGGGGAGCGAGGAGGAAAAAGTTGGGAATTGGAGAGGGTGTAACATTCTTCCAGGCATTGTGATGGAGAAACATGATTGGCACATTCCGGGCGAGACAAAACCCCCGCCTTTGTCACTCACTGTAAATTGCCCCCCAATCACTGGGCTGACAGAGATGGATTTCCAGTCCTGGTAGCACAATTAAGCTTTCTCGGGCGTCTCATGGGGGAAGGAGGTAGTTGGTTTACTTGCGAATGCTTGGGGGTAATTTTCTAATGTTCCTTCCACCATTACGAAGGCTCTGCTCCAATCTCTTATCATATGTAATTCCTAATGATTTCTCTGTTATGTCCTGTTTTATTAAAGCGTCATTGAACTATACCCTATTGATTTAGATTTCACAGACAATTGAAATTTAAATTGACTCCAAATTGAATGTCTCCATGTAATCTCTGTTCTGCAATAAAGATAGATAAAATGCTTCTATTTTTGATAACAAGCTATACTGGAGGCACATTTTAATTTTGGGAGGGAAGAAAAAAATGTTGACAGAATCTTGACTTTCTTTGAAAAGTGGCTGATGGTTCAAGGTCCAGGAGGTTGTTTTTTGTTTTTCTCTGGGGCATGGTGCTGGAGCTATAGAATTCTGGATTGTCTGGGCTGGCTCACAGGTGGGAGTGGAAGGTGATAGAGTCTGACCTATTAACTAATTAATTAGATGATCCATCCGCAAATCCATCCATTTCTCCGGTGAGCACAGCATGCTTGGAGTACCAGGTTCAAGGTGGGAGGAAAGACTGAGCCATAGCTCTCATCATGTGCGTGACTCCAAGCTCACATCATTTGAGGGTTGGGTCTGGGGAGCCACCATGTAAAAAAGAAGGGAGAGACATCGTTGCAACCAACCAAAGGATGCTGTCTTTCCACATCTGTCCCCACCCAAGCCGGAATCTTCATAGCAATGTTCTTTCTTTTTTCTAATGGTGAAGGTCAGCAGTTAGGGCTTGCGAAGGAATCTGTCTACCCCACCCCGTCCAGTCCTGTCCCATCCCGTCCCGTCCCGTTTCTCCATTCCACTCCATCCCATCCCATCCCATCCCCTCCCCTCCCCTCCCACTCCACTCCACTCCATCCCACTCCATCCCCTCCCACTCCATCCCATCCCATCCCATCCCGTCCCATCCCATGTTTCTCCATTCCACTCCATCCCATCCTGTCCCACCCCTACTGTCATCTTCACTGCCCTTCTCTTCCTTTCTTTACTCTTCCTTTCCCTCACATTCGCCCCATCCCATTCCAGATCTTTCCATCGTTTCCCATTCCTTCTCTTTCCACTCCATCCCTTCCCTTCCCACCTCAACCCTTGCCATCCCACCCCATCTCATTTCATCCTATCCCATGCCTTCTCACCCACCCCACCATCCCATCTCCTGTATTCTGTCCATCCTGCGCTATCCCATTCCACCCCACCCCACCCCACTCCATCCCCTTCTGCTTCACTCTAGTCCATTCCATTCCAGTTCACTCCACTTTATTCCATCATTCCCATTCCATCTTATCCCAGTGTATTATGCTTTCTGTACTATTTCATTCCACTTGAATTCACTCCATTGCAGTTTATTCCATACAGTCCATCCTTCCCACTTCATCCCTTCCATTCTACCACAATCAAGGTCATACCTACTCATCCCATTCATATCTTTCATGCTTAGAAGTATTTACTGTGTGCTTCCAAGATGCCAAGCCCTGAATTTTTCAAGATGAAAAATAGGCTCTGATTTTGGAGACAGAGAACATGTTGCTTGACAAAGTATCTGTTCCCACCTCTCTGCTGCGTCCTTCAGCTTGGTCTGTCGCTGAACCCAGGAGCAGGAGGATCTGATGATTGTCCACTCATTGATGAGCAGAACTTTGCTTCCCATTGGGATATAATTTTGGGGATGTATTGCAGGGAGTCTCAGCAGAAGACTGAGTGGGAAATCCTCTCCTAAACCTTATCCCTCCTTCTTGAGGACTATGCAGGCCAGTTTCTCTCACTTGTGTTCTCATTGTCCTGGGAGGTGGGGGCTTTCCATACCCTAGAGTCTCAGGAGGGACCCAGATGGTCTGCTGAGCTGTGTGTGAGTCCCTCCCCTAATGGCCTTTGCTTCTGGTTTGGCTTTCTTCTCCCCACAGGCTGCCTTTTCCCTCCATCCCACTTTTCCTGTAGCACATTCTCTGCCCGGAAGCTCTTTGGCCATGCTCGGGTGGGACTCCCTCCCACGTACATCCGATCCAGGCTCGAGTGTGCCCTGCCTCATTAAAGGCTGGGTATTTACATGAGCTGCTGCTGCGTTTCCAGCAGGCCCCTGTGCTTCGACCCCAAACCCATCCGGAAGACCCCCTAAGGTACAGCAGGCTCTCTGCCCTCTCTTGGCTGCCCCCTCTTCCCCAGGTCGTCTCCTGCTTGCCCTTGAGTCCCCTGGGCTTGGGGAGGCGGAAGCACCTGGCATGTAATTGCTGCTTAATAAACAAATCAATCCTCATTAGGGGTTGATTGATCATTAGCCTCATTATCCTGCCAGCAGAGGGCTGGGCAAGGTTTTAGAATGCCGATGCAGAGGAGACCAGTGTGGGTGTGGACTTGAATCCCCATTTTGTGGACAGGACAACATCCAGAGTGTTCAGAAAGAAGGTGACCTCGACCAGAACTCCTCAGCCTTGGCTGCACATGTGAACCAGTGAGGGAGCCCTAAAAACGCTGATGCCCAGGCTTCACCCAGACCTATAGGTGCACAACCTCTAAGGGAGGGGCCCAGCCATCACGCTTCGAAAAAGCTCCTCAGGTAATTTTAATGTGCAGCCAGAAAGGCTGGAGAGTTCATTTTTAATCTCTTGAGTGAAGGAAAATGTAAAGTTTGGCCATTGGAGTTTGGCACTACATGGATACTTAATACATTGCAAGTTCCCTGCCATCTTAAATCTTCCTCCTCCTCCTCCTCTTCTTCTTCTTCCTTCTTTCTTTTTTCTTCTTCTTGAGACAGGGTCTTGCTGTGTTGCCCAGTCTGGTCTCAAACCATCCCCCTGCCTGTCTTCATTTTGGTATTCCATCAGCTAAGGCAGGCAACAATCTCATCACCAGCCTCTGTGTCGCACTGATATGCACGGTATCTCCTGTTGCCTTTAAAACTCTCCGTGATTGCTGCATTCATGGATGGCTTGTATGCATCTCTGCTTAATGTCTTGCTTTAAACTGAGTTTTAACCCACTTCTTATTCTTCCTTAGTCCATTTCTAACCTCTAATCTTATGGAAGTGTGGGTTTGACATGTTAACTCGTATTTTTCTCTAACACACAAAAACATAAATATATATGCTAAAAAATTCAAAACAGGTTCACGTCTGTATTACCCAAAATCACTTTGCCAACTACGAGTTAATGCTTATACTAAACTTTGGGAAGGACTATTTTATAGTTTCCAGTTTTTTTTCACAAATTAAATAATAAATGTGAAGTTTAAAAAATTGCACAGCT